CCTCCGTTCCTTCATTTTCGGTTTGAGTTGCTTCGTTGGCTGGTTGCCCCACCCCACCCCCCGGTGGAAGGAGAGGAGGAGATCCATCCGCAGCCTCCAGTGCGTGTGTGAGTGTGTGTGTGTGTGTATATATATATTTCTGCTTTTGTGTCGCCGGCGCCGCCGCCAGCCGGGCCGCGCAGGCGGCCTCCCCGCGTGCAGAAGAGGCACCAGCAGGCGCGCGGCCAGGCCCCACGCGGAGCCACACGCATACATGGGCGGGTTAGTCAAACCCCTTGAACTCCGTCAGCACAAAGGCGTCGTAGTACGGCTTCTTCTCGAGCTGGTGGCACCAGTTCCAGGCGGAGGTCAGCCGGCCGTCGATGCAGTTCCCGCCGTCGTCGCCGGAGCCGTCAAAGGCGTGGCGAAAGAAGTCGGCGAGGATCATCGTGCGCAGCGCGGGGTAGGAGTGGAACTTGGCCCGCAGCAGGTTGCGCAGCCCCGGGTACGTCTCCGGGCTGCCGGGGGCGAAGATGCTTTCCAGCTCCAGCACGGTGTGCATGATGGGCTGCACGATGCGGGGGACGACGGTGTACTTGTCGATGAAGACGAGCGGGTTCGGCACGTCGCGGTCGCCGAGGTGGATGACTTTTATCCCCACCCAGCCCCCCTCCGCCCGCTCCGCCTCCGCGACGGCGCGGGCCATGCGGGCGAAGCTCTTCTTCGCCCCGCACAGGCGGTGGTGCCCCTGCCCGGTGTTGACGAAGTTGTAGTGGCCGCCGCCGTCGAGGAGCATGTCGTCCTCGGCGACCTGCCAAAACTCAAAGATGTGCCGCTGCACGTTTTCCCACAGCGTGAGCGACTCCGCGACGTACTGGCAGTGGCGCACGTGGTCGTGCGAGAGGCGGGCGCCGTGGAGGCCGGCGTGGATGGCGAGGTTGCGCTCGGGGTCCGTGGGGTGCGGGAGGAACTCCTCGTCGAGGATGCGCCGCAGCCAGCGCAGCGGCCGCACATTCTCCTCGATGAAGTGCACGACGTCGTCGATGGAGCGCAGGCAGCGCTCCACCGCCGGCCCGCCCCCGCCCCCGCCGTGGAGTTCTAACATCCGCTGCAGCAGCGCCGCCTTCTCCGCCCCCTGCGCCCGCAGGTACTCCGCCACGTCCCCCCCCGCCAGCAACGCCTCGGCGCCCACCCTGCGCAGCTCCGCCCCGACCGTCTGCAGCGGCGCCACCAGGCTTTTGGAGGTCTGCAGCCGCTCCTGCACCGCCCGCTTCTGGGCATCCTGCAGCAGCATCGTGAGCTTCCCAAACTCGCTGCGGTTGCTAAACGGGTTGAGGCGCTTGTGGCGGCGGAAGATCTCAAACAGGCCCACTAACACCCTGAGCGTCAGCCACACGCCCTTGTGGCCGCCGGCGAGCTCCTCCCGCACCCCGCGCGGGACGCTGCCGGCCGCGATGGCCAGGCCCAGCGCGGTGCCGAAGAACTCCCGCATGGCGCCGTACATGCGCTCCTCGCGGCTGCTGGGGCGCCGTATGTCGTCCACGTCGTCCGTGTACTCGCTGACCCTCAGGGCGGCGAGGAGAAGATCGAGCTCCTCCCGCTCCGCGTCGCTCAGGCGCAGCAAGGCGTCGGCGTACTCCATCGCTGGGAACCACAGGGCTCAAACCCCCCACCCACACACACACACACACAGAGAGAGAGAGAGCGAGAGAGTGAAAAACTGCCGGCCCAAAACGGGGCCCACAGAGCCCGAGAAGAAGAAACGGAGAGGCGTCAACCACAGAGAGAAAACGCAGAGGCAAACGAGAACATGAGAAGAAAACGAAAAAAGAAAAAGAAAAAAGAGAAAAGTGAAAAAGAGAGAGGAATAGAAAGAGGAATAGAAAGAGGAATAGAAAGAGGAAGGGAAGGGGAAAGGGAAGGGCCCACACAACACCAGCCCCTCGCTCGCCTCACGTTCAACTCCGCTGCACACACTCACTCCTTTTGTCGCTGTCGCTGCTGTTGTTTTTGTTTTAGCGGCGAACGCCCCTCCCACCGCAGTCACGTTTTCCGCGGCCGCCCTTCCCTGCCCCTCCGTGCCCCTCTCGCGTAGCAACACACACACAAAGAGAGAGAGACAGAGGGCAGGCAGGAGAGGAGGAACACGCTTCGCTCGTGTATATACACACACATATATGCGCGTGTTCCCTTCCGTCCGCCCGGCCACCCACACACACAGAGACAGAGACCCACAGACAGAGATGCTGCGTTGAGGAGTTGCAAGGGGTCCAACCAAGCAAAGAATCATGCAAACCGAAACAAAAACAAAAACAAAAACAAAAATGCGCCATCCTTACTATTACGCACGCATACACACACACACACACACGTGCGCATGCGTAAATACACACACATAGGCCGAAAGTAAAACAGGAAA